AATTTCTCTTTCTCTCTTTCTCTTTCAATCTCTCTCTCTCTCTCTCTCTCTCTCTCTCTCTCTCTCTCTCTCTTTTTCTTTCTCTTTAACTATCCTACTAGGTGACCCCTGTGAAAGTGGAAGTGAATGGGAGCCGTACGGGGTGCTGTCAGAAGAGACAGAGGACGAAGAAGACGCCGTAAGCCACTTTGGGAACCTCCAAGAGCCAGGAAAGAGTAAAGGAAGCCAACCCGAAGAGTGGCTGAATGAAGACAGTTCCCAGGGAAGCGACTACACTGCCCTGCTGGCGCAACAAAAGGCCCACAAGGGCAAGAGGAAGAACCAGTGCAAAGTGTGCGGGAAAAGTTTCACCCGGAAGGCGAGCCTGAAAGTTCACCAGCGCATCCACACGGGCGAGAAGCCCTATAAGTGCACCGTCTGCACCAAGGGCTTCTGCGACAAGACCAGCTTCCTTCGCCACCAGAGGATCCACACTGGGGAGAAGCCTTACAAGTGTCCCGAGTGCGGGAAGAGTTTCAACCGGACTACCAACCTGATTACCCACCAGAAAACCCACGTGGAGAGCCGGGAGAAGACCTTCCACTGCTCCAGCTGCAGCAAGAGCTTCTACAACAAGTACAGCCTGAAGACCCACTGGCGGAGCCACACGGGGGAGAAGCCCTACAAGTGCTCCAGCTGCAGCAAGAGCTTCTGCGACAAGTCCAACCTGGAGGCCCACTGGCGGGTGCACACCGGAGAGCGGCCGTTCGAGTGCTCGGAGTGCGGGAAGAGCTTCAGCGACCGCCGGACCCTCCTTCGCCACCAGAGGATCCACACTGGGGAGAAACCCTACCGGTGCACCGAGTGCGGGAAGAGCTTCAACGACCTGGCCACGCTCCTCCGGCACCAGAAAATCCACACGGGAGAGAAGCCCTACCATTGCACCGAGTGCGGGAAGAGCTTCAACCAGAGCTCGCACCTCATCCGGCATCAGAACACGCACGACGCCAAGCGCCATAAAACCTTGGAACCCAAGCGCGGCGCAAAGGCTTCCGTCGGGACCAATATCTTTTTGGATATTGGGAGCTTTGCCCAGGGGAGCTATTACCAGTATGCCCACCCTGCCGAGCCGTTTCATTGGCCTCTTTCGACCTACTCGTCTTCCGCCGAGCCGGGAGAAGCAGGCATGCCGAACCTGTGGACTATTCAGGAGACCTCAGTGGGCGATCAAGCCATCCTGGTTATGAAAGAATTCACAGAGGAGAGGACCTTAGCCCTGTGAAGGCTCTGAACGGAGGAGAAAAATGAAACCCGTATTTTTTTCCCCGGGGAGGGCAGGGGGGCAGGTTCATCGATCTGAAATCACAAAAAGCAGGGATTTTAATTTTTATTTTTGGGGAAAAGAAACCGTTTCCCCCCGCCCCGCCCCCCCCCGAAAAGATATCAGTTTCCACAAGGACGGCGTGAAATCCCCTGGACTCTTTGCTCACTGTTTGGCTTGTGGCCATGATTGGAGAGAGATCTTTTCTTTCTTTCTTTCTACAAAGATTCAGTTTCGGGAGTAAGCTTGGGGAGGGGAGGAAAATACGAAGAGCTTGAAGGTTCAGCTGGCATGGTTTGGTACCCCCGGGGGGCTCTGTTTTCTCAGTCCACCCATGGAAGAGAAGAATTGAATTGAAACAGTTGGAAGGAAAGATAGTCAATGTCTTTGAAAGGAGGGTGTTTGCCCTCCCCGTTTTTCAAACGGGATCCCTTTTTATTTTAGTTGAATCAGGGGGGACCCCGTTGGATCTCTTCCACTTGCTCTGAGTAACAAACCCAGGTTTGAGAGGGATGTGGCAAGAAGGGCTTTCTGGTGTTTGGTAAATAAAAGGACGCCCTCTTTTGTCAACTGAAGAGAAACTGAAGTACAAAAAAAAAAATGTTAGGTAAAGAACAGACGGTCCAGAGAAAGCTAAAGGGGGGG